TGTTACGTATTGCTTAGTATATTTGTGAATCATAATACAAAATATTTGGTACATAAATACGGTAAATATTTGGGAGGGCTATCGAACTTAGGGTTTAGGCTCTCCAGTTCCCTTCTAGCTCCGCCTAGGATTTACCGGTAAATTCTAGGTTTAACCGGTATTCGTACTTTAACCGTAACACATTCATTCCAATGGTTTCTAGTTTCTAGCAGTGATCGATAATCAGTTATTTATTTTGAACCTAAAGCATTTGCTTGATTCGTCCTGTCTTTTTACGACAACACGTTTATGAAACATTTATTTTTAGAACAGTAATTAAAAATGTTGTTAGTTATTAGGTTTTTACGGCAATTATTAACGTATTTTTTTAAATATTATATTATGATTTAATAAGTTTAATAAATACTATGTTATAAATACACGTGAATTAAATTCACAGATTTCTAAATTTAAATACACGTGAACAAAAAACACGTGATCATATAAATGTTGATTCACATTCAAATCCAAAAGCTTTAGTCATAATTACTTAAAATACACTTTAAAGCACCTATCTATAAAATTATGAAACTACGACAAAAACCGCTATAAAGCCACTATATTATTCATGTATATTATCTGATCTTTTTTAAAACTAAATTTATAACATATTCTTTACTTACAGTCGTTGCATCTTCGACAGCTTTGTGATAGTTTTTCATTTGAAATTGCGCTTTAGATCTGTTCAAATACAATATAGCCATTTTTGGGCTCAACTTAATCCCATGCGAATAAGCACTCACGGCTCCGATGTAATTTAGTTCTGTCATAAATGTACTACAGAAAAAATAAATTAACTAACTATTAGAAATATACAAATTAAATAATAATATCTATATTATAAAATATATATAAATTTAGTGACATCGATTATACTATATTTCGAGATCGTCATTAAAAAATAACTTATATTTTGCATTTAAAAACTTTTTGTTTTACATTTTACATGTGAGTAGTAACTATTAAGTGGTAATAATCTTCAATTTAATTTAAAAATAACTTCGGTATCAATCATTTATATTTTGTCGACAAAACAAAAGTATGTACGTATTAAAAAAATAAAAAGTGGTAAATAAAAAATTGTATCTTTTCATATGTTATTATAGTTATTAAAATTAAAATATATATATATATATCAAACGACGATTTTCAATGTCTCTGCCATATTCAACTTCCCAACTAACCTTAAATCACTAAAAATAAGTTACTTACTTTCCTTTTTGTAAACACCATTCCGGATCATGTTCTTCTGGTCTTAAGTCTTCTTCCACAAACCCTGCAGCCCTTCTGGCAGCAGTCTGCTTTTTTAACCACTATAGTGTATTGACACAACCGATTTTATAATTGATCGTACATTACAATTGTAATAATTCAGTTATACTATCTATACTATAACTATACATCTATAAATAAAATTTTACCTCTTGTTCGTCAGCTTTAGTCGATTCTCTACTCGGAGTAGTAAAGTGTCTCGGAGTGAAATTAATCTCGATTGTTTTAAATTTTCTAGGACTTGGCAATTGATTTATAAATTCATTTGGATCGTTTTCTATCTCGTAGATCTTAATCGTTTCATCGGTTGAAAAAATATCTTTTTTAATTTTCTCATTTTTTTCTATAAAATAAACAAAACAAATAGTTATTAAATAGGTACATTAAATAAATATTAAAAATCTTAATACTATGTTCTATTGCTGTTTAAAATCTTATTGTTTATTACTGCCTTTTTTTTTTAATTGTAAATATTTAATAATAGTCCATTCACTTATATACGTAATTATTATTTATTTGAGTTGTATTCATTGCAAAATTAATAAATATTTTTAACATAAAAAATACCCATTGATCTGTTGATGCAACCAAAAAATAATTTTACCACTGTCATATCATATTCTCATCACAATGTTAATATAGTATATCAAGGGATGACCAAATAATCGATCACAGAAGATTTAAAAGCCAATCCTTGTTCATAAGGATTTATCGTTATATACATTTTATAACGTATCTTATAAATCTCATTGATTGCTTTAACAATAATCTTATGTATTTTATAAACCCTCAAGATAATAATATATTTTAAATATTTAGTAGATCTTAAACAAAAAAATGACCCTTCTTGCATTATACTGTTGGAACTTACAAGAACAGTCTAGAATATTCGCGGGCTATCGCACTGACGAATAGGAAAGTAATGACTGACGATATGTGACCAACAGCCTCGTACTTCCGTTTTCGTATAAATAAATATTAAATGTTTAATGATATATGGTTTTTTCTTTCTTTTTTACGAAAGTGTTTTATCAGCCGTAACTTACTGTCAATACTGTTTACAATTTTCATACTATGTAATTATTATTAAACTATAATTATTTATAATAAATATAATTTTCTTACTTTGATCATGTATAATTTCTGTTTTTGATTTCCACGTACTCAACTCTTTCAAAACTTTTTTTTTCTCTTCGTCACGAATACTTTGAATAAGTTGATGTTCTTTGTTTTCGAAATTTATTTGTTCCTTGACAGCTAATCGGTCTCGTTCTGTTTTTAGAACTAACACATCATAAAAACATCAATAATTAATAAATATTGCAAACAACAAGTCAAAGATTAAATAATTTGTTTTTTTTCTTTTAACTTTGGTACTCTACTATCTGTAATAATTTTGTTTGTTTAAAAACAAATAAAAATAATGATAATAATTTAAAAAGGCAATATGAAAATAAACTGTAATGATATGCTCACACATCATAATTTATTGTATATTTTATCATTTCGTTAAATAAAGTAACGGTCAAGTTGTCGCACGCAGATAGCCTTCAATAAAAACCAATAATCCCTATTGATCACTGACGAGAGAGACGATCTACATTGTTTGGCCACGTAGGAACTCAAACGCTATTGCGACCATATGGCACAAAGCGTTTGACCTATTTTCGTGTGCCGCCAAAAACAAGGGATGGTCCAATGAGGCTCTCCGTCGTCGGGGACCCTGGCTGTCTTGACCACGTCGTCTTCTCTAGTCAATGCATGAGCACCAGCCAAACCATCGAGTGCATGAGCACCGACAAAAATTACAAGTGCAGGCGCACCAGACAAGCGAGCAGGAGCTCTTCCCAAAACCTATCACACACCCCACAACACAAGACTCTGCGAGCGACAGCTGGACTTCTTTCTTTTTCTAAGATAAATCAGTGTTGTTTTTCTTATTTAAACTTAAATTTTCCTTAAATCGTATCGCAACTTGTATTATCTTACATCTTTCTCTGAGGGTTGTACTACAGGTATTCACCGCGGCGAACCAGGTAAGGTGTATGCCCTAAATACTTATTGTTAGTACGAAATCTTTTACCATTTAATTTACATACGGTGTATTTGATCATATTCTCGAATCACGATCTCGAGAACCCTCCGAAGAACAGGAGGAAGGTAATAACGCAAGAACAAGTACATTCAATATTTATTAGTACCGGACTTACATACAAGGCTTGTGTCCCTTGTGTCAGTCCGGCCACACCATACTCATAACTTATACCCATTTATTTTTATTTTAATAAGTTTTTTATATTTTAACTTTTATTTTCCTTTTTTGAGTTATTACAAAACAAAATAAATAAGTAAATCATTTTTGTGTTTTTTATATAAAAGGAAAAAATTCAATGATTAAGTAAACCTATAAGTTACCTAACTTAACCATTCTCACTCTAGAGCACTATTTTTATTTCCTATATTTCCATAATGCCCCTTATCAGTAAAAGCAAGGTAAAGTTTTGTTTAAAATTAAAATAGACTAATAAATCAAATTTTAAGTTCAATTAAAAATAAATTTAAACTTAAATTTTATCTCAAACAGTTTTAGAAAAATCAAGTTTGAATTTATTTTCGAGTGCATAAAAATTTAAGTTTAACCTTTTATTCTTAATTTGTTTAATAGGTATCTTAACAGTAATAGCAGTATACACAGCTGGTTTAATTATTAATTATCTTTGCAGTATGTAATATTTAATAAGAAAAATATTAAAATGAACTTTATATTATTTAAATAATTAACATATAACGTCTACCAAATTTATATAACAATTCATTTTACAAGACATACATACTAGACTTTTTTTGATATTTATTCTGTTGTTCTTCAATGATGTTATTTAAAATTTCACATTTTAACTTTTTTAGCTCCTCTTTTGATTTCTTGAGCGTTAAATTTTCCCAATTAACGCTGTTCTTCTTTTGTAACTCAAATAAAACACATCCATCATCAAAAGTGCACTTACTACATTCTTCATTAATTTCATCCCAAAAAATTGCTTCAAAAATATGCGGTAAACAGCTAATCTTCGTGCATAACAAATAAACATAATGTTTAATGATACAATAATCTTTGACAATAAAAAATTATCTCAAAAATTATTAAAATTTTAAGTTATATTTCTTTATGTTTTTTGAAGTAAATACAAAATATTTTTGAAAAAAATTATATTTTTAAAATTTTATCAGTATAATATTCTAAAATTTTCAACGAGAACATATATTTTTAATTTTATACAGTACTCTCATATTCTTAGAAATAGGATTTAAAACGAGTAATACATTATTTTTTAGTAGAGCTCCGGATATTAATATTTTTGAATCCCTATCTGCAGTTTGATGGGAATAAGAAATGAAAACAACAGAGGAATGTTTTTTACATATTTGAGAAAATTTCAAGAGTTATAGAATATTTTGTTTCTTCTATATATTATCTTAAACTAATTTTTAAATTGTGAAAAAAATATACTCATTTATTTTAATTTTTAATTATTATTATTAATTTAAATTTTTAAGTAAATAAAAAATACTTTTTATAATCATTTATAAATTTTTATTTTTTTTTTAAATGATTTATAGTACCTATAAATAAATAATGTTTTAAAATAAATCGAAATTGTTATTGCGTATAGTATAATTCATAATAATATAAAATACATCAGGTAATTACATAATTTAAATTCTTAAAAATAATGTTTTTAAATTATAACAAAATAATTAACACATCATTATTCATCATTTAAATAAGTAATTTCGTTCAAATTGGAACTTAAAATGCCTTTACATATTTTTAGATTTTATGGTTTCAGTTTAAACTAATTATGAAGAAACTTTTATTCAATTTCCAAAACTTAAATACAAAAAAAAAAGTTTCTTATGAATTTTTAATTACAAAATAGTTTGTAACTTATAATAACTTTAACGAATTTTATCAAAACTTTAACTTCAGATAGGTAGATAAAATAAAAATTGTATTTAATTGTATTTTTAGTATAAAAATTTGCTTTAATACACACATAATTATAAACAAAAGGAAAAATTAAATAACAAAAATTAAAATAAATACTATGAGATAAGTATAATTAGTGAACAATGTTCATCCACAAGTTAAGTATGTGATGTAAAATATATAAACTTGTAACATACTTTTGATCTTAATGGACTTAATATAACAGATTGTAAATATTTTTAAAAAATAAAATAAAACCCATGTATTTTTAATATTTTTATATAGATATAAAAAAATCCTTTTTGAACTTTTTATTAAATTTTCAATTTCGACCCAACAAAAATTTTTTTAATCAAAATGTATAGAAATAAAACCTAAAATTTTTCATGCTTATAAATAACTCGAAAAGTGTTAACCAAATTTGAAAATCTAAGTATATAATGAAAATGGTAATATAAACATTTAGGAAAAATCATGAGTATTGTTGTTTTTTTTTTTTTTTTGAAGTACAATATAATATAAATAACTTTACTGTTTGTAGAAAAATAATTATTTTACGCGTGAATATTGAATGTTGTAATGTAAATATTTTAACTTGAAATACTCATGAAAAATTAATCTTGGTTTCCGATAGAATTTTTTTTTATATGTACAGATCAAAATAATAATAAAGAACCTTAAATTAAATTTTTAGATATTAAATATAAAAATAAATATTTTTATCAATTTCTAATTGCAAAATAGTTTACTTATTTTTACAAATTAATTTTTATGGATTTTATCGAACTTCTAACTTCACCAAGCTTATAAAAAATGTTATTACTATAGATTTACAATATTTTTTAATTGAAAAATTAAAAACCTTTGAGGAACTATATATTAACTTTTCAAGCATTTCTATCTAACCAATGAATCGACATATTTTATAAAAAATAAAACTAAAAAAAAAAAAAAAAATTATTATGTCTTTAAACAGCTCAAAAATATTTTGAAAATTTTATAGTAAATAGAAAATTATGAAATCTACATTTGATGAAAATTTCAGGTAGGTATCTACAGTTATTCGCTTTTGAGTTGCATCAAAAAAAAAAAAAAAATAATTTTTCAAAAATTGAGTTTGTATAAAAATTCCCGTTTTTCCTTAATTTTTTGTTTGTTTTTTCAAATTATACAAATAAGTAAAAGAATTTTTAAGTTTGACCTTTCTAAAATATTTAATTGTTATTAAAACAAATGTTGTCATATTGTCAACTATTTTTGTTACGTACTGTATATCATTATACATACAAACATATACTAAAATTCAGTGTAGGTAATTACATACGACTTTATCTAATAGTTATATAAATACTGCAGTTACACTTACTTTTAAATATTTATTAGATGTAAGAATATCAGCATTTTTCTGAGAGATATGTGGAATTTTTATTTGTAAAAACAATTTACTTTCAGTTTGCCACCAAGAAAAATCTTTCACGATGATAGGCATTACTTTAAATTTGATTTGAGCGTATTGATTATTTTCTAAAGACATACGATGTCTACTTTCATAATATTTTGAGGAAAATAATTGTAATCGTCAAAGAATTGTTTGTTGCCATGGTGTTTACAAAAATAGATGTAACAAATAAAAGAAATTATATGTAACGCACATATTATTATGTACACTATTTATGTTGTTAAATCTCGTTTTTACTTTTAGCAATATTATTTAGAGATACAGAAAAATTTATTAAAAATTTCAATAAAAACAACAGATAATTTTAAAAATTTTATCATTAAATTCGATAATAATTATTTGTTATACAGTTATAACAAATTATTACCTTAATTTTTTCCTTAAGTCCAGTTATGTTATTAAACAGTATTTATTACGAATATAAAATATTTTAATTTACTATTAATAAATAATTTTAATACTAAACACAATAACATAATTGTATTTAAATAATCAACTATTATTAAATAAATCTATTAAAAGAATATCAAATTTTTAAAATAAATAATGAAATATGTTTTATTTAATTACAAGAATATAACCGTAATTAAATCGGACCATTAAACTAATCGAAACAATTACAAAACGATTATCATAATATTTAATATGAAACTTATATCAAGTATATTATTAAGTTTAAACTATTATCTAATAAACTACTATAGCCAAATTCAATTACGTTGTTTATGTTATCAAATCAATTGTTAACTGAAGTCAATAAATCAACTGCATATTTTACTGTTCCGGGCGCTAATGTTACTCCGTATCCTCCATGACCATAATTGTGTACAATCTAAATAATTAAATATAAGTTATTCTTTATTATTGTATGTAAAATTTACATATTAGTTAGTTAATAACTGAAATCTAATATAGTAATATGGTAGATATCAAGAAAAAAATTACCAATCTCTATAAAAAATATCTGTATTTTAAATTTGAATGCTTACCACAGTATCATTTATACATTCAGTTTCTACTCGTATTTTGCTCCTGTAAGGTCTAAGACCAACCCAAACCGTAAAGTCTGTTTTTAATGCTTCTTTCAATGATGGTAATAATCTTACACAATTTTCTATTATTTCTTCTGTGTTGCGTTCATTTACCTGCTCGTTATGACTACCAAAATGTCTACAACCACCAAGTACAATAGTCCCATCGCTTATTGATGGAATTATATAGGTGTCGGAATCGCAATAGTAAAATTTGTCAACCCATGGAGCTTTGACCTAAAACATAATATTAAAATTTTGAATTAAGTATCATATAATATTTAAATACTTTATTATAACACATTTAAGAATATATTAAAAAGTAAATAGGTAATTGGAAAAAATATTATTATTATAACTAGGGAACGGATTTATCTGCACAAAAAGCCTCAAAATATGCTTCTAAAAATGCTATAATATGTTACAAAATATGCACTTAAAACATGTATGGTAAAAAATATATTTTTTCATTTTAGATTAAAAATGATTAAAAAAAATTTTTTAGGTAAATAAAAATGAAACAAATTAAACTTACAATTTAAAATTATAATATTCAATATTTTTTTAAATAAATAGATACATTTTTTACATTTAATTTAATATAAAAAAAATAATAATAAATCATAAAGATAGGTATATAATAATTAAAAACACTAAAATATATTAAGCTTGCAATTGAAAATTATATGCAATACCACGAAGAAAATCTTCAATATTTGTATTATTATTATAATTGGTACAATTTTTTTTTTTTATTGCAGCTGCTTTATCTCGGTAAATTTTTCTTTAGGGGTTTGATAAAATAGGATACAAGATTAATGTTAGATAAGACTTAATCATTAATGATCGAATAGTGTTACGAAAAAATACTATTTGCCTTAAAATAACCCTGAAATTACCTACAAGTATATAACTATATTTGCGATCAATTATAATTTTAAATTCTAAGTTTAATTTGTTTCATGTTTATATATCTTACAACATTGTCTTAAACATTTTTAATCTAAAATGAAAAAATATATTTTTAACCATACATGTAACTAGAGTTGTGCCAAATTTATTCATATTAAAAATTATTACTGTAAATTTTAATTTTCGATCAATTGCTGTACGATAAATTGTAATTGAAATCAATTGGCTTGCGATCAATTGTTTGTGATCAATTGTTGCAGTCAATTACTTACGATAAATTGATAGTACACCGATATTATATGTGGCTATATGAACATAAAAATATAAGATAAAACCAATATACATGCTGAAAATAAAAATATGCATTATAATAAAACTACAAATGTCAAATATACATTATACATTTATATGCAAAATAAGGTAAAAACGTTGAAATATACAAAATATGTAAAATAAATTATTGTTATTTTAATAACAATGGTTTAAGTCAGGAAAAATTCTCATCAAATTTCGAAAAACTCATTCTAATACATACATGTATAACATATAAATCCATCCCCTGATTAAAACTATTGTAGATAAAGTAACAATTATTAATATGTCACTTCATAAATATATTAATAAGTTATTTGATAAATTTATACTGAGCTTTTATTAATATAAACTTTAAATATTGTAAAATTGTAAAAAAATATTTTACCCGTATTACTTGTCCACGAATAGGCAACACATTCACATCATTACATAATTTTCCGGCTCTAAAGCCAGTGCAGTTAAAAACAATATCATATTCACCACACAATTCTTCAAGAGATTCGATTTTTCGCTTAATAATAGTTGCCCCGTTATTACTAATCCTAAAAAAAAATAAAGCGATTTTATATTCAAATAATAATAAATAACTAAAAATAAAACTTCAAACTTTAAAAATTAAAATTGTATAACTGACATACTTATAAAATGGAATAATTATATATACTTTTTTAAAGCCCACGGTAAAAAAAGTTTACATTCAATGACAATCGACGTAAAAAAGCTACCATATTTCAATATATGTTGACTTTCAACAGACGAATAAGCTTTTAGTTCTTCATCGGTAACTTCTCTAAAGTCTGGTGAACAATTTTTCATGTAATGGTTCTAAAATTAATGCATACATTAAATAATTAAATAGATATAATATATGTACATACATATGAAATATATGTTTATTAAATTTTAAACTTAACCTTTATGTTTTATAGATAAATAAATGAATCATGTTATTGAAATATAATAATGCATTATTATTACTTACATTTATAATATCTGGATTCTTAGTCGAAAATATGTAACCAGAAACTTCATTTATGCCGCATGGTTCATCCTTATTTTGTAATAGATTTTTATAAAAACTATAAGAATCGTTAACCCAACGCCTATAAAAAAAAATGCAATAGTTGAGTCAAATTGTAAGAAGTTTCCAATTTCATTTATAAAATAATTAAAAACAATCTAAACTTCAAAAAATATTATAATAAAAGAAACATAGCAGTACCTAACTTAAATAGCTATCGCTAACTTATTATTAAACACTTAAGAGGATATCAGCGTACCATTTGTCTTCTCTCTCTCTCTCTCTCTTTCTCTCTCTAACGCATGCACAAAATAGAAAATTTGTACAGCATTACCTGTGCTGTTAGTTTAAGTATTAGAGTGAGTATTATCAAACCTAAACATTATCTATAGTATTGCGTTAGCTATTCTACGATATTTCAATATTCATGCAAGTTATGAGTATATAAAATATTAAAATTTAAAAATGATTAAATATTGCAGAAAAATACGAATTGTATCATATTTATCTGGATGTATTTTATGTACTATGTTAAATATACTTAATCATATATGTTTAAAATTATAATACGTCACATTTGTAATACACGCAATAAATAAAAATTATAATAATACAAAAATAAGATTGTATATAACTATAAAAGAATCAATTTTTTAAAACTATTGGGTAAACAGTATTTTTTGACACGTTGATATAGTAGAAAAACATAAATCCAAATTTTTAGGTAACCTTACTTTAGAAAAAGCTACATATAATTTGCGATTAAAAAAGTAAAACTTTCAAGATAAATCCCTACCTTTTTTAGATATTGTTCAAGGGATTTATAAATCATTATTGCGAATGCTAACTATTTTTTTTTTTAACTAATGCTAACCCTATGTATAGTTTTATGGCTGAATCAAAATTCATGTTTCAGCTAACAATTAAAAGTTTAATTCCGAATTCCACGATAAGTAACCTTCAACCAATCCTTATAGCCCAAAGAATATTCTTGCAAAATGTAATGCCAATTAGTCAAAACTCAAAAACTGTAGATTTATATAATAAACGTCAAAATTTAAAATAGGCATTTGATTTTTTTTATAAAAGATAATATAGTAATAAGATAAACTCACTGAGAGATTTCGAGGCTGGGCCCAAAAACGTACGTGTCAGGCCGCAACAGTCCAGCTGCGCCGTCACTAAGGGTTTCTCCATTAAACTTATCCGCAATCAGAGTCACGTCGTAATTCGGATATCTCCTCTGAACTTCCAGTGCCGAATTAACACCGACAATACCCGCACCGACAATGGCCACTTTTTTACGTTGCGAAGTCGTCATTTCTATTTATAAAAAAACAAAATGTACTTATTTGTTTAAGAAATCAACATAAATCCAACAGAAACGCAATGATTACAATTTATAACATCGCACAAAGCATGCGTGTGTACTGTACTACAAAATGCAATTATAATAAATTGAACCGATAAAACACTTCAATGTATATGATTAACAATAATTATAGTATAAAGTGATGTATTTTAAATGCGTATATAATTCGACTGGGTCATTTATGATAAATTTAATCATAGTAGGTTACAGTTAATAAATATTTTAACTTGACTAATCAGTGTACTCATATATATACAAAACGTCCAAACTACCAACACGTTTATGTAGTAAGTATAGACTACAGATATTATACAAGAAATAAATATTAATGAAGTAATAATAATAAATTATAAAAATACTTTAGACATACCAAGTGATCTATGTAAGTAATTAAAGTTAAGATGTGCAGATTTGAGTGGTATGCCCTGCAAGGCCGGATTAAGTCATCCGTAGGTCCTAGACTCTGAAAAATATTGAATTTCACAACAAAGGCACATAACATAATGCGATTGTAATAGCGATTATAGGTACGAGGAAATTAGTCAAGTGATGAGGAAATAATTTCTGGACGAGCGTCAATTAAACCATTGTACACAAATATCTACCTTCAATATATCAATATTCCTATAAGAGTTAAATATTTTATAAAAATAGTTTAAGAAGTTTAAAAATCCATCAGTCAGCGGCTGACATAGGCGCTTAACTAAATATGTCATGTATTTAATTCTTCAGTGAGCTTCAACTTCATGACTCAGTCTTGTTTAATCCATAGCTAAATAAAATAAAAATACTAATGATAGGTACGTAATAAACATGTTGGTGTAATTGTTATTTAGCTATGATCGTGAATATGTTATATATTGATTAAGATGTATAATATTATTTAAACCGTGTTCAAAATGTTCAAATCATAATTAAGTATCTTTTTGAATATTCTTATTTCGTAATTTTATAAGGTATAATAGTTTTTAAATTGTTCAATATTATACATATCGGTCAAAATATCACGTTGTTAATCAGTGTTCCTGAGTTTGTAAAATATAAATCCCTCCAAAACATGGATTGTGGACATTTTGACTTCTCACGTGGTTGGTGTTCATAAACAATAAATTATAATTATAGAACTAAATTCTATAACAGAAATCAAACAAACTCTACAATCAAAAATTAAACTTACTCGGCTTTAAAAATATTATTGCTTGAAAAAATGTGTATTTAGATTTCTATAAAATGCACAACTGTCACACTGTAAAAGCTCAGTGTAAACAAATTGTTTAAATTATTATCTACTTAGAAACATATAAACTGATAACAATGTGTTTTCTTCTTTCAGTTTTCAGTTTTTCGTGTAGGTATTACTTTGAAATTTGAATTTGAATTTTAAATTTTACCGATAGATACATCGTACATCGGATAAAATAATAATTTAACTTCAAAAATTCCCAATAGTAAATCATCCAACATGACTGACCAAAACATTTTAGATAAATCTATGAGGAGTGTTTTCGGTATGTATTTTTGGTATTCATATACTTCTATAATATGTAACCTATTTCACTGATGTATTTAATATTTTTTTTTCGTTTTAGTGGGAAACATTCCATATGAAGCCACCGAAGAAAAATTAAAAGATATTTTCAGTGAAGTGGGACCTGTAATATCATTCAAGTAAAATACATTAAAAAAAATCTTTCTTTAGTTACTTATCACAATTAACTTTATTTACCTAACCATTATAGACTAGTATATGACCGAGAAACAGGTAAACCCAAAGGTTATGGATTTTGTGAGTACAAAGATCAAGAAACTGCGCTTAGCGCTATGCGAAATCTTAATGGATATGAAATTGGTGGACGTACTCTACGTGTTGACAACGCTTGTACAGAAAAATCCAGACTTGAAATGCAGTGTAACTATTTAGTAAATTAATTAATTTTAAATATCAAAATTTAAAATTTACTTTGTATTTTAGCTTTAATGATGGGAATGCCTTCTTCGGAAAATCATTATGGTGAAGCCGTAAGTGCTGAAAAAGCTCCAGAAGCCATAAGTACTGCAGTCGCATCTTTACCCCCAGAACAAATGTATGAGCTCATGAAACAAATGAAAGCCTGCATTCAAGTATTACTAACAAAATTACTTTTAATTTGTAGTAAAAATAATAACTATAAAACTTATAACTCTTTGTACATGTATAGAATAATCCAACTGAAGCTAGAAACATGTTACTACAAAATCCTCAACTTGGATACGCATTATTACAAGCACAAATTATAATGAAAATAGTGGATCCTCAAGTCGCAGCTGTAATTATAAAAAATAAAAGATTTTTATCAATATTACTAGATGAAATTAAAATATATTAATTTTTTAGATAACTCTTCCTGAGTTTTGCCTATTAAAATTAAGTATTTAAGTTAATTGTATTCAAATTATATTATTTGACAGAGTATGTTGCAATCTTCTAATCAAGTTCCACCTACTCCAATACCCAATAATTCTGTTACTGCAACAACAACCGTCAATCCAATGCCTCATATGCCCAATAATGATAATAATGTGTGGTCACAACCCAAGCCTTCAATTCCTCCAATGATCCAGTCTCATGGTATGAAATATGATAAATGCTGCTATAATAAATATTAAATTAATTATTTTGTATTTTGTTTTTTTTTTTTTATGATTAGTAGAAGACATGGATTTAAGACAAGTAAATCGTGGCCGGGTCATGGATCAAGATTTAAGACAACCACCAATTCAAATGCCAATCACTCAACCATTGTCATCAATACCAGTTGAATCGTCTATTCCACCACCATTACCGTAATTCTTATTAAAATAATTAAATTATTTTTAACTTATTATTATGCAATATTGTAGGGTATCAAGAGACCCTCGAGCACCAGTATCGATGGATTCAGATATTCGAACTTATACAATTAGAGATCCTAGAGCAAACACTAGTAATGCTGCTGCAACACCACCACAAATACCTCCTCAGGCTGTTCAGCAACCTACTCGACCACAGGTACAACTGCCTAAACCCGGTTCTTCTACAGATACAGAAAAGGTAATTATTCTAATTTCTTTATCAACATGATACATAAAATAAAATACTTTTATTAATTTGTGTTATATTTTAGGCGGCATTAATCATGCAAGTGTTACAATTAACTGAGGAACAAATATCAAAATTGCCTGCAGAACAACGACAAAGCATACTTGTTTTGAAAGAGCAAATAGCTAAGTCTGCTCAGAGATAATTTTACTTAGATAGTATCTTTAAACTTTTAATACATTTAATTTATTTACGAATAGGTTTAATTTTTAAAACTATTAATATTTTAATTGAATGACAATATATTAGTATTGCGTTATTATAATTGTCACCATTTATATATTTATGATGATAAATGTTATAACATTTATATACACCATCAAATCAAAAGTACTTATTAACATGGCTTTAAATACTATCTAAAGCTATGCTTATAATGAAATTGATTTAAAAAAACATTTTATTTTTACTCAATCAAAGTGATATAATTATAATTTTATTGCAATGTACTATGTATAGTGTTTTATTACTATAAAAAACTATTTGTATTATTATTATTATTATTATTACTATTAGTATTTAATAGCTAAATTTCAAGACTAATACTGAGAAGCACTGTATACTATCAAACTATTAATATCATTTTCAAAATCTGAACATTGTGTTTAGTGTTTAAGGTACAAAAGTAATGTACTAAGTTAAGGATCCTCTTGCAGTCTTTATTAGTATTTAAAATCACAGTACTTAGACAGTAATTTTAAAATAAAAATGTTTAATAAAATATACATATTTATCTGCAAAACAAATAACAAGAATTTTCAAATTTTATTAAATTGACTAGGGACTGGTGAACATTGATTCTAGTAATAGCAAGCTGCCTTTAAGTTGAAAAAATGAAAACCATTTCACTAGAAATTTGGTCAGTAGTGATTTTAGATGTCTAAAAATTGGTCATCTACAAGAAAGTGATTTTCAAAGTCCTTGTTGGTTAGGTCCTGTTGCTATTTTAAAAATAAAAAAATAAATAAATACATACATACCAACAAGAATAATTTAGTGTCTATCAATCAGTCATCATCCAATATAAATTGATACCTGGTTGGGCAATCTGCCACAAATTAACTGCTGAAAAAACTTCACCTAATTAATTTTAAAATATTAAATATTTTAAATATCCAGTATTATAATAATTTAATTATTAATTACTAAATTACGTAAGGGAATTACTTAAGATTAATTTGTTTTTTCTGTATTTATTCCAAGCATTAAACATCAATTTTAATTTACTTAAATAGTATAAATTTGAGGATAAAAGATCAAAATTAAATTTTACCTAGAATTTGTATAAAAAATGTTTCTTCAAATTAATTTTCTTTTAATATACAAGTATATCTATTTAAACAAAAAAGTAAGAATATATAACTTTTTAGTTAAGGACTAATTTTTAGGGATATGTTCCTATCTCATCCATTGTATCACCTCCTATGTACATTTTAAATATGATTATAGCTTAAGTTTATACTTACTATAATTAAATTAACCAAGAATTATCACATCAAAACTATGGACTTAATGTATATTTTGTACACCATGGAATTTAATAGTCTTCTGTAGAAAATGTTAACTGTACGACGTTTAAATTGGGAAACTCAATCTATCTTAAGATGCACTTGACATCAACATTACAAATGTATCAGTGCTACATGATTATATCTAATCATTTCTATCATGATATTTACGAAATAAACATCTCAAAACAATCACTAAAAACTGATAATTGTATTATAAACAAAAAACATGATACATACATTATTTCATTTTTTATATAATTATGATAAATATATAAAAGTTATGAATTTTTATAGTTAATCCTCCTCTTCCGCTTTTGTTTTATCGTCTGGTTTTTTGATAAATTCATGGAACATCACATCGCCAGTCATAAGTCCATCTTCAACTTTAATCAACTATACCATTTTTAACATATTAATAGTTTTGATTAACCATGGTTCATAAAAAAAATAAAACTTGTTATTCTATGATTTTACCTGTAATGTGAGTCTTGGACCAAGTTCACTCAACCTTATGGAAGACTGAGTTCCTACTATGTTGCCTCGACTCACTAATTTTTGTGGAACAACAACATTAGAATTCGTAGATTCTTCAAATTCGCTATCAGACAATAATTCTGGTCTACAAAATATTAAATGTCATTTTAGAATAATAAATTTAAACGCATAGAGATAGATTGCATATTGACTATTTACTTTAACAAAAATTCATCAATGTCATCAAAGTTTGATAAATCAGGTACTTTACTTTGAACAATTTTTTTTACACCTTTAGATAAGCCAACTGGAACAGTTTTAATAGCATAATGTCTAAAATCAATCAATTTTGTTTCAGTGTTGTAGTTCATTAAAACACATCTTTTAATATCATTCAAATTTACCTAGTTTTAATATAGGAAAAAATAAAATTAATATTTAGTTTTATAATATGATCAGTATTGTCTTTACTTTTGTGACGTTGATGGTTGGGAACATATTTTGAAACATAGTAGCCATTAGGTTGATATGTAGTCCTTCACCAGTAAAATTATTCATAACAATCAACGGGGCATGACTGAACAATTTTGGATTTACCATTTGTTTGCGCAAAGATGACACAACATCTTTGCTTAAAGCATAGTTATGTAGTTTAAATGTCATTGTAGGACCCTGAGGTAATCTGGCCACACGAAAATTAACCCCAGTTTCTGAGCTTGTGAATACGCACAAATGTGAAACATGCATTGGACCCGCTAAGGCGACAAAATCTTTAATTGTGTTTTTTTTGTAAACCTGTTCAAAGGAAGAAGGTTAAATAATGAATCATATACTTGAGTATGAGGTACTGCACTTTAAATTAATAATTATATTTCTGAATTACTTGTAATGAAGAAGCAGTAAATGGTTCCATAACTTTTCGAAAATCTTTGACCAATTGTAACAGACTTTTACCAATTTGTCCTCGGTGGATAACAAATGAATGTGGAGCTCTTTTCAATTCTTCTGGTTCTTCATACACAGTTTTCTTTAATTTCTTCAACCGTTTCTGTTTTCATCGAATAAATGATAAAATAAACAAATAAATGAAACATCAATTAATGTCTAAAACTTTAAAATTTAAATTTAAACTCTGTTATAAATTTTTAATAAAGTAACTATTAAATTTTCCTTAAGATGAAAATATAACACAAGTTTGAAACTATATTACATACATAGGCACATAGCTAATTTATTCTAGGATATAATTATGTTTTCAAACGCTAAACAAATCATACATAGATGCAAATAATGAAATACTTACATTTTTCTTAACGGTAGATTTACGTTTGGAACCCATATTGTAAAACTGTTGAGTTAATTAAAATAATTCTACTTATTATTAGAAGTCTGTAAAGTATCCAATATCGAACGCCTTGAACTGTAACCACCGAGTTTATGATACTGTAACACTAATTATTGCTGTCTGTTGTGTACTTACTACTCAGGTATTTGTGTACTGAAATTAAAGTATTGTTCTCAGATTTTATAATAAGTAAAACATAAAGATGAATACACGTGTTTCGAATGTTTTGATGTCTGATAACGTTTATCGAAATATATCTATCAACCTGTCTTATCTATTATAGTCACGGATCATAGTAGGAAACACGGAAAATATACGCCGACCGTCTGCGCCAAGCGGCAGTTTTGTGATAGTGGTTGTCAAATCATCAAACATATAACCCGCGTTTTTTTAAACATCAAATTATTTATAATACCTATGAGTATAATTTTTGCAATAGAATAGAGCGATATTTTAATGATCTGTTTATTTTATAAACCATGTACATAATGTTTAATATAAAAACAATTTACAAATATTATTTTGATGGAAAAACTTAATTACATACAAGCATAATATCATAAAATAATAATAATAAAAAAATAATTTTTAAGTGTTTCGACGTCATCTTCACTCGCCAAAATCACTGTCATTAGATGCGAATATTAAAATAATTGGCTCCAACAGGCTAACTCTTAATTTCTCTTTCTTATTATATTCATCTTGAATTTTTTCAACATGTTCGACACATTTTTCCTAGTCACTTTTAAATATTTAATCGTTCCTAGTATATCAATCTTTCAACGTCTTCCATTTAAAAAGTATTATTTTTATTTATTTTGCTAATTCTACTTTGATCTGTGTCCATATGAGTTCAATAGGATTATATTGACAAGGTATGGTGACTGACGGATTACTTCATGGCCTGTTGAATTCGCAACTTAATCTAACTAAGGTTAGGTTAGGTTACCTAGGTTAATACTAATCTAACAGTTCAGCTAATGTTTCAAGTGTTGAAAAATTAATGCTTTGATTTCTCATCCAATCCTGTACATCAGCTTTTTGAGCATTACTTTTAGAGTAATTGTTTAAAAGCATAAAATGATAGAAAGCGTTATCCATTACAATTATGCATGATTTAGGTAGTAGCTTTCCATATCTATAAACCATGTCTTAAATTATAAGGTTCTTAGAAAAAACTAATTTAAAAACATAAAATAGAATTAATGTAGGTAAGTTTATAAAATTATAATTTAATTCTAATAAAAATAGTACAATAAAAAATGTATACTATTTACATTCCTAATTTATTGTTTTCAAACTATTTATTAAATTCTAATAATTAAAAGATTTAAATTAACTTTTAGACAAATAATACAACAATTTCAGTATAAAAACATTATATTAGCATACAAAATTAACATTATAATTACAATCATAAATAATACACTTAATTTATTAATTGATTAGCTTTAATTTTAGCCAATAACTGATCACATGTTGTTTTAGCATCTCCTAATAACATATTGGTATTTGGCTTGTAAAATATTGGATTTTCAACAGCTGCATATCCAAAACCTAAGGATCGCTTCATAACAATAACCTAAATTACAAAAATAATTAGACACCTACTAAATACTGGTTAATTTTTTATCATTTAATTTTACCTGATTTGCATTCCAGACTTTTAAAACTGGCATTCCAGCAATGACAGAATCTGGGTCATCTTCAGCAGCAGAATTCACTATATCGTTAGCACCAACCACTAACACTAAATCAGTTTTATTAAAATCATCATTGATTTCGTCCATTTCTAACATATCTTCATAGGGGATTCCAGCTTCTGCCAACAAAACATTTAACTGACCTGGCATGCGACCTAAGATAAATATATTCAATTATATGCATACAATTTTTATAGGGAGTAAA